AATATGTGACACCATCTGATGTTCCTCCATCATCAAGATGGAATTTTACTAAGGCAAACTGGGCTTTATATGAAGTCCTTTGCACTAATCATCTTAAACCTGATGGTTTTCTTGATGTTACCGATCCTATAAAACTTTTTTTCCGATGAACTTAATAAAATTGCTGATGAATGTATTCCGAAGTCCTCTTCCAATCCTCACATACGTAAACCATGGTTCAGCAATGATTGCAAGCTAGCTAGGAAGGCAAGGAAAAAAGCTGAACACCCTTTCCGTCACCATCCTATGGTCCACAATTTAAATAAATTTAAAATATTAAACCCTAAAGCACGGCGTACTTTTAAACAAAACAAGCGTCAGTCTTGGCAAAATTATGTCTCCAAGATAAATTCACGTACGCCGATATCGAAGGAATGGAACATGATTAAGAAAATTAAAGGTAAGGGTTCTAAATTTGGTGTTCACCACCTTAAAAATGGGAATGACTTATTAACCGATACTTCAGATATTGCTAATCAACTTGGTGAAACTCTGGCTGAACATTCTTCCTCCTCGAACTATGCCCCTAAATTCCAAAAATATCAAAAGCAGCAAGAAAAAGAAACCTATAAATTTTAATTCAGATAATGGCGAGGATTACAATGAAATCTTTTCCATTCATGAACTTAATACTGCCCTTGGGCAAGCTCATGACACTGCTTCAGGGTCTGATAATATACATTATCAACTCTTAAAACATTTACCGCAATCCTGTTTAGAAACCCTCTTGATGATCTTTGATAAAATCTGGACGTCAGGAGAATTTCCTTCTTCATGGCGTGATGCTATAGTAATTCCCATACCTAAACCTGGTCGTGATCATACTGATCCTTCCAATTATCGACCAATTTCATTGACTAGTTGCGTTTGCAAAACCATGGAACGCATGGTCAATAACAGATTAACCTGGTACTTAGAATCACATAACTTAATCACAAATATCCAATGTGGATTCCGTAAAAATCGCAGTACCATTGACCACTTAGTCCGACTGGAGTCATTCGTTAAGAATGCCATTGTAAATAAGCAACATGCAGTGTCTATCTTTTCGATCTAGAAAAAGCATACGACACTACATGGAAGCACGGTATTTTAAAAGACTTACATGACTTTGGATTGCGAGGCCGTTTGCCTCAATTTATATCCAAGTTTTTATCTGACAGACAATTTCGTGGGTACTACCCTGTCTGATCATTATAATCAGGATCAGGGTGTCCCACAAGACAGTATTTTGTCTGTCACATTGTTCAGCATTAAATAAATAGCCTCTCTAAGGTTTTAAATGACTCCATTGATGGATCGTTATTCGTGGATGACTTTAACATATCATGTCGTGGTAAAAACATGCATACTATCGAAAGACAATTATAATTATGTCGCAATAAGATAAATAAACGGTGTTTAGAAAATGGTTTTAAATTTTCGAAATCCAAAACAAATTGTATCCACTTTTGTAGGAAATACAAACCTCATAAAGACCCTGAGTTAGTTTTAGATAGCACTCCGATTAAAGTTGTAAAAGAGGCTAAATTCCTGGGTATTATTTTTGACCACCATTTAACCTTTTTACCACATATAAAATATTTGAAAAATAAATGCCTAAAGGCCCTGACCTACTGAAAGTTGTTTCAAATTACAAGTGGGGAGGGGATCAGAAAACCCTACTCCAATTATACAGAGCCCTTATTCGCTCTAAACTGGATTATGGCTCCATCATCTATGGTGGAGCCTGCAAAAGCAACCTTAAACTTTTGGATACTATCCATCATCAAGGTCTAAGACTATGTCTTGGATCTTTCCGAACTTCTCCTATTCACAGTCTGTACGTTGAAGCTCGTGAGCCATCTCTTAAACAACACCGCATTAAATTATCCTTACAGTTTGTCCCTAAATTACGCTCTAATAATTCGAATCCAGCATATGACTGTGTTTTTAACCCCCTTTATGAAAATCTCTATAAAAAAAAATCATCGGTTCTCCCCCCACTTGGAATAAGACTTCAATCTGATATTTCAGCTGCTCAAATTAATCTTGACGATATAGCCCCCACGCAGCTTTTGTCTTCTCCACCTTGGCAGTTAGTAAAGCCAGAGGTGGATCTGACATTAACTAACTTAAAGAAATCTGAACAAATCAACTTATTTATCAACAAAAATACAATGAATTAAGAAACACATATATATCTTCCAAATCTATATTTACAGATGGATCCAAGGATCTTTCTTGCCTGCAGGTTATCCATAACGTATCATGTCAACATCCACTTTTAATCAAAATTATTGAATTATTTAATGAACTTGCTACTGGCCAATACGACATCGTCTTTTGTTGGTTGCCCAGTCATGTGTGCATCAAAGGCAACTCAATAGCCATTGCTGCTGCAAAAGCAGCACTCAACAAATCTGTGACACCACTTCTTATCCCATACACTGATTTTAAACCTGTAATCAGATCTTATATTTGCGATCTGATGCAAAAGAAGTGGGACTCCCAAGTAGGTATCAATAAATTACATGAAATTAAACCAAATATTGGTTACACCTACTGGGGCTGTCAGTCCAGATTTGAAGAGGTCATTATGCGACGATGTCGTATTGGCCATAGCAGGTATACACACGAATATCTTTTAAAAGGTGAGGATCCTCCATTTTGTATCCCTTGTGATGAAAGAATCACCGTCAAGCATGTCCTGCTTGATTGTGTTGATTTTTCCATCACAAGGGATAAATATTTCAAAGTTTCATCCTTAATGGATCTTTTTAATATCAGTGTTCATTTAATTATTGACTTTTTAAAAGAAACTGAATTGTTGCATAAATTTTGATTGATCTGTTTTGTATATAGTATAGTTTTTATAATTGGTAAAATAAATTTGATAACTGAGATTGTTAGTGGCTGTATCCTCGAAGGGGGTTGACGTAGTGTAAAATTATTGTCCTCCTGAGAGGGTATGTAAGACCACGTCTTTCAAAGTATATTTATTTTGGCCACATTTTTAATAGTAGTATATATGTTCGTTTACCTTTTGCTAAATTTGTCATAATCGCCAACAGCTGAAGGGATGATGTAAATCCGGCTGGGGTCCATGCAGGTAGCAAAAGTACTGTAAGTCCCCATGGACCCTAGCATGGTGGTCTACCTTCAGTTGCTGGCGATCTATAGCCCGTTTTTATACTGTCATGTTTTGATTAGTGCTATTGATTTTATGATTAAATACTAGTTTGACATTTATTTCTGTAATACATCTAGTTATTTTACTGTCCCTCGTTGGCAGGAATTTACATGAGCTTCAATATATGTATTATATTTAACCCTTGATAGTCACGATATGGCTGACATATTGCCGATGTGACTTAAAACTTAACTCACTCACTCACTATAGCCTCTTTTTATGTTGTGTTGTAAAATGTTACTGGTTTTATGTTCATCTGTGATATTCTAGTTGTACGCGGTTTAAAATATATTGTCCATGTCAACTTTTGTTTCGTCACGATATGGCTGAAATATTGCCGATGTGACGTTAAACTTTAACTCACTCACTCACTCACTCAGTTGCATGGATCGGTGCTCGTGATGTCAGTCACTGGTCCAGACTCGATTATTTACAGACTGCTGTTATATAGATGTACTATTGTGGAGCGTGTCGTTAAACTACAAATAAACAAACACTCTCAGCTTTACTCCCACATTAACGTGAAAAATGATTAATGCGATGATAAACACAACTCACTCACTGTGGAGAGTTTAGTGAGCCTTCACCTGGACATTTCTTACTGGATGGGGTCAAGTGAGTGAATTTGGTTTTTCACCGCTATGAAGTGTTTTTCAATTAAACCACAGTGTGTGCGTTAGTATGGGACAAAAGTCCAAAGTGATGCAGGTCTGACCACCATTGTGAAAACTAGGAGCATGAGTGCAGTGGGGACAACCCAATAACCATCATCGGGGACATCTGGGATTCGAACCCATACTCACATGATCCTGGCACACATAAGCGTTGCAAACACTCTGCTACAATAACGCTCTACACTATTCTCTATTGTGAGGGTAGCATATCAAGACACCAGGTGTTTTATGTTATTCGAAATCCCTGAGGCACAGCCAACACACCTGGATAGGGACCGTTTCCTCATCCTCCATGTCCACATGAAACCCGTCCTTACGCTGAGGGAGACCCTATAGAGGTGTCCTTGTCTCATGGGAGAAGTGACTTTGCCGTGGCATGTATGAGCGTTCGCTTGCAAGATGGTACAGACACCATACTTCATTGTGTAGGCGTCATGATACTTGCCGCACCTTTCTGTCTGAGTAGGGTATACATTATTTATCTGCGGCATGGTATCTCACACGCACGCACGCACGCACGCACGCACGCACGCACGCATGACGCGAAGTTGAGCCCCATATCACCACACCTCCCCTTGTCTGGTCAGGCCTTCTGACTTGGCTGATTGCCGCTCTCAGTACCCCGTTCACTAGTTTGTATATTCTAGACTTAGACGCCATGACGAATGGCACAGGCTAGGTACTGACGAACAAAGTAAGATAATCATTGCAAATTCGGATTCGAACCAACGTTTCTGGTACACCAGGGACACACATATGGAGAGCGAATTCCGGGCCTCAGATGACTTGGCCTTCAGTGCCCCCTAACCCGATTGTACGTTTTGTCATGTTCTTTATAACCGAAGTTGATATTTCCCATTAGGCGACAGCAACGAATACAACAGTAGCCTCTAAAAACAAACACACTCTCGTGAAGATCCGGATTGGAATGGATCTGCAAAAACCCATGTGTGTCGTAAGAGGCGACTAACGGGATTGGACTGTCAGTCATACTGACTTCGTTGATGCATGTCATCTAACCAAATTGCGTAGATCCATGTTCATGGTGTCACTCACTGGATTATCTGATGCACACTCCAGTGCGGAGTTCAACAACAAACAAACAGAAACAGCCATACACAAAGACATGCTTCATTGTTATACACTTTGAGTGAAACAAACAATCAACATGAAAGGGGAAACAGTCACATTCCGTGTCAAGTCCACAGCAAGTGTACATCAGTGACCAGAGGTTGAGGCCATTTCACAACTTTCGATCTTCAAGCTCGTTTGTCTCGTTTGTCTTGGATAATCTAAAATATAAACAACCTGTCAAATATGCAACATTTTACTACTCGAAAATGGGATATTGATCAACCGATAATTGAATGTAAAAGCTCAATTTTGAATCGTTCTACGATAGACGTGAAGTTTGCCATCAGCACGGGTTTGGTGCTGACAAACTTAGGTATATAATCAGACCGAACGGGGATTCGAGACCCATGGTTAGGGTTTCTGGCACAGAGTGGAACACATCTGCATTGCGACTTCCATCGGCTTAGACGACTGGGCCACCTCTGTCCCTCTAACCCGATTATATGTAATAAGTCACTTCGTTATAACCGTAGTTAATTCATTCCATTTGACGACATTAGTTAATACATTTGTAGGCTCTAGAAACAAACATACCCCAAGTGTAGATCCGGGATAGAATGGGTCTTCAGCGAGCCATGCTTGTCGTAAAAGGCGAAGGGTGGTTAGGCACGCTGACTGGGTTGATGAATGCCATCGTATCCCAATTGCGTAGACAGATGTTCATGGTGGCAATCACTGGATTGTCTTGTCGCGTGCGGCGTTAAACAACAAACAAGCAAACAATTAAACAAACATAAAATAGGAATGCATCATTATCGTACGCTTTGATCAAAACTACAAACAATCAACATGAATGGGGAAAGAATCACATTCCTTGAGATACGGTTTCACGTCGTCAAGTCCACACCACATGTACATCAGTGTCCAGAGGTTAAGCCATTTCATCAATTTCGATCTTCAAGCTCATATGTCTTGGGGAAACTAAAATTTTTACACAATGTTAACCACAAAGCAATGTCTACAAGAGAAGGGGACTTTGATCAACAGATAACTGAATTAATATATAAAACATTTGAATCCTCGTCGTTCTACAGTGCATGTGAAGTTACTGCTGAATATGGCCCATGATGTCTAAACAAACAATTTACTGCCATGTCCCCTTCAGTCCCGAACTCTGGGAAAATGTTAAGCATGTTAAGTTTCCCACAACAATAGGTATTTGACTACCCTTTAACTCTTCTGCTTCTCTGAACGGTACGATGCGACCATCATGCTGTCATCTGGAGAAGCATTGCATTGTCCTTGTTCAACCTATAAGGAGATAGCAGCATCAAAAGGTGATCAATATCACATTATGAGTACATTCTAAACATGGAGATCTATCACACTGATGTCACGAACTAAATCCAAGCAGTCCACAATTCATTTCAAATTAATTGTTTGTATGATATCAACAGTCCTTACAATCTATCTCTAGTCTCGGACCAGCAGACAAGAGGCCGTTTCGACCCGACATAACTCACAACCAATCACTCGTTAACAGGAATATTTCATCGCTTGGTATTAAAGGGTTCCACTGTACCATACTGTAAGTCTATATTTTATATGTAACTGTTCACATTATTATATAAGATTTGATGTCTGATTGCAGACACGCTATTGAATACACGAGTCAGATTATTATAATAATGTAGACGGTCGGAATGAAACCAACAAACTATGCTTATAAAGGGTGTACTATAAGTGTGATAAATCATATTACCTTTGCAGCAACACCTGTACATTCTTAAGGACAAGATAGTTGTGGAGAGAAGAAAACAAGTTTAATAGAATTCATGTTAAAAAGTCAATTTGGGTAATTATTGGAAACAGTTCAACAACAAAAGTCTTTTACTTAATTAAACTATTCACATGTTAATATAAGGAATATAAAACACGGTTTTGTACGGTAAACGTGATATATCATTGAAATATTTCTTAAATGTGCATAGTCAACATTTATGAATGATAAGAAAAGTGAGAGTACAAATAAGAAATAAAGCAGAGAGATAAAGGGCGACAAACGTTGGAGTTAGTGTATACAACAAACGGAAGTTGACAATTGATAATTGAACGCACACATTCTCTTTCATCACTTCACACACATTCACTCATGATGCCCTCTCAATTTTATTGAAATGTGAACATTCAAAATGGGAGGAAGACCTTCTATGTGTCAAGTAAACTCACAATGACTGCAGTCTTGTGGTATAGTAATTGTACATGAATTGTCTTACCTATTCCTAAATTATTAGAGTCGTTGACAAATATCATAATGGAGACGTGCATGTCTCAGATCCTTTTTTCTGATAGTAAACTGTTTCTCTGCTGCATTTCAAACTGCATTTGTAATCACACAAATATATTTTTGTAGAATAAAGAATAGTACAGACGTATATGTATGGCACATTAATTTAAACAAAACATCGCAAATGATGTATTTCATATATTTTTGTAAACAAAGAGGCTTTTACAAGAAAAAATAGTGTTTTAGTATAAAAGATGAGTGGGATTAAACTAATGAAACAAAAATAGACAATATGTGCAAAACAAATATTGGCATACTTTATACAGGTGGGCACGGGAATTACATAAATGTCCGCCGATTTAATCTTCTGGCGGCGAGGTTATCTCCCAAAACCCCTACATCCCATTTCCCCTACAACCCAGTTCCCCTACAATTAGTTAAAACAACACGCGGCATTTACCTGTCTGGTATTATGAACTCACCTAAAGGAGAGATTAAGGTCTGGAGTAGAGGTAGTAGAAATGAAAGGGGTTGAGCTTTAGGGGACTAGGGGAATTTCTTCTTTTTTTAAATAATGTAAGTGTAATGAAAGATGCCTATATGATGAGAAGACAATTTTAAACAATTACAAAAATAACAATAGGAAGAAACAATTATTACACTGAGATGGACGATTTACAGTTGAGATGGCTAGGTTTAGTATAAAGATACTTGAATCTGACTAACATGACATCAACATGTCTGGGCTTCGCTATGTTGAGTTTGTTATGTCACAGAGAGGAAAGCCCCAAGTCCTTTTTGATGGTTATCTTCACACTAAGAACGTCGTGAGACTGACTTGCGTACACTGGTAGTGTGTCAAGTCCACATGTAGAGGAAGACTCACGACAGTAGGAACCGTGATAAGGAATGCTACAGAGGACACGTGGGTTGACGCAACGGACACCACACCAGATGTACCGAGAGCTGTCGCCTTCAACGACTACATCGTCACTACCTGGGTCGACCACGGAGCACGATTCCCCCTACCACTGTGGAACCATCACGGTACAACACGTCCCAGGCTTTCATAACCGACTCAACCGAGGTCTCCCTGTACCAATAAAAGTTGTCCGGGGGAAGGGCGGGGGTTGAGGGGTATCGGGGGGCATCGGGAGAGGTGGTCGGTGTGTGGTGGTGGGTGTTATTTTGCGACACTAGGACAGAAATTGCTAATGTGTCGTTTTTCAACACCAGCTGCAAATTCAATACAGGGACAAATGTACAAATAACACAGTTCTACACTGTAAACACGGCATGTGCATACTGAAATTAGATTCTTTCCCAATTACAGGGTGTTGTTCAACTTACCTGCATCAGCACCTGTAGTTGGTGGATCAGAAGGGAAATGGTAGCCTCCATTAAAAATGCCGTAGAAAAACCCATATACAGCGAATCTGCTAGCAGAGCGGACATAGTATCTGCGCAATGAACAATTTCTTCCCGCTTTGTAATCACTGCCGGGGATGTCCACCCAGTCCAGTGTAGCAGGGACCATATTACCAGTTAATACTTCAATATCTGTTACGTGTTGTTTAGTCAGTATGTTTATACAGGCTGTATAAGGAATCAATGCACTGTTCACGAAATACGTAACTGGAACTACAACAACAATCCCAGGTCGATATGCAAATGTGCTGTTTCTACACAGGGTTGCCATGACAGGCCTTGTAGCCTTAAGATATAGACTCTCATTATAGGCGAGGTATTGGCGATATACACGGTTGTCACCAAGAGAGAATGTAGATCCATTGTTCAACATAATTTCAGTGTTGCTCTGGTCACTAATAACTTGTAGCTGGTATGTCGCGTTCCTTCTACTGGAGTAGTCACCTGTATACATAACATACTCCATCCCATGATGTCGTACAGGTAATAGTTGCGTCACGGCCGTGAAGTAATCGTCTTGCATTGTCCCACTGAACACAGCTACAGTGTTTGTTGTGTTGATTACAGTTCCAGTCAGGTCATAGTCACTCTTCATCGTGAAGGTCTGATACTCATCTAGAGTCATGTGAATCATGTCTCCGTTGTTGTAGGTCATGTTGTCATAGGTGACGTTCCCGTCCAGCATCAGCGTGATGTCCACGTCCGTCTTGTGGTTGTGGTTAGCTATCACTAACACCACCTGTGTCTGGTTTCCCAGGCAGGTGGATACAACATACCTGGAACCTAGGGCAGAGATCGGGAGGGCTGAAAAGATGTAATTTGCAGTGTGTCCGTAAACGCCCATGTCCTTACCAAAGACGTGGATTATGAAAGCCTTGTTTTCCACACCCACCGTCACCCCCAATGACGAATCTATGTAAGCAGAAGTGGACCCGTATGGTGTTACAGTCCCTGTGTCGTTATATCCCAGCTGTGGATAATCAACCAGAAAAGATCCCCCTGTTTCCCCAGCTGCCACTGCAAGTGAGTAACTAGCCGGCCAGAGATGCTGAATGTATACCAGTAGGTAGCTCACACCTGGAAAAAGTATACACAGCTTGTTAGTACTATTTTAGAATGGATAACAACGGTACAAGCTAGACTCGGACAATTGATAATTTCAACGTATCACTCCACTGAGCATTGTGTGCCTGGGGTTGACATACATGACTCTGATGTTACAAATCAAATATGTGTTAATGTGACTTCTGTCCAAAGTCATTAAATCGATCGCCAAAGGACAATAGTCACTCTATCATGATTTCTTTTATATGTTACACACGCTGAATGTCGTTGTCACTCGTTTGGATTGACTAGTATGTGTTTTACAGCGATACAGTTGGTCGTTATATGACTGTCAGTATAAAAATGTTGTCACATCTGCCGAATGGAAGCGTATGAAACAGTTAATATGAAAACATAATTACGTGCATGTGTGCTGCTGTGGATATGAATACGTCAAAGTGGGGTTAGCGATGTCCTCATAATAATAGAGTCGCCATTTCGAAAGAAATGTTGAGCACTACCCTTCTTTATGTTCCTATACCCCGACCTTCCATGTATCTCTGTACATATGATGTTGATGTCTGATCTATGTCTTAGATACAACCGATATCTGTTGAAAAGTTGGCTTCAGAATATTGTATGTTTCTCAAGATCGTCACGAGTTCTGAGTCATATTATGTAAAGCAAAACTCTAGAAGGATATTCAAAACATCTATTGTTATGAGTCAGTTAAAGCACATCACCTTACATACTCGATTCCGGTATAGTATTTCAAAACGAGCATGTCATAATGGAAACAAAAACATATGTGTCAAGTGATTTTAATTACATTTCATTTTATATGGAATGTACTGACTCCGAGCCGACCATTCTCTGTTTTCTCCCCATAATCCGAGCTCCAGGCAGGGAAATAACAAGTACCGTGATAAGGTTTGACGCGACCAGGGGATCGAACCACCGACCTTTTGTTCTCCGGGCAAACGCAAAACCCCTATACCATGGAGACGGTCGCACCCCAAGGCACACTAGATAAGACACCAAACCGACTTCAACCAAGAATGTTGACAACGTAACCAAAACCATAAACAGCAAAATGGTAATCCATAAACTGTGATCAAAGACAATGTATACAATTTACCAAAACTCAAATGATAGATATATTCAGATATCAATAACCATTTTATATGTTATGGGTCTTTTAATGTAATATTTTAGGATTACAACTTTAAAATACATATTTGTTATTCCTCATATTGTTCTAATTGCATCACATCGGGCTTTCCTCCCACATCAAGCTGACACACCATGATATAGCTGAAATACTGCTCAAAGAGGCTTTAAACAAATCTCGCATACTCAAAGAAGCTATGTATATATTTATACCCTCAGCTTATTCTTGTCCGCCAGTCCGAGTGTTGGTAGATACAGGTGTGGGTAGTGTCGTTGTACCTGCGGCAGTTGAGGCCGTGGTTTGTGTCGTCGGAGTTGCTGAACCTAAACAGAAACTAGATCTTAGATACTCTTTTCACAGTTGCTAGTCCGAGGTTTCTAATCACATAACATTCTTCTTAACATGAAAACAGCTGATATCAATGTGGGCGTGTCGCATAGTTGCGTATTAATTTCAACACTACTCTACATTCGGTAGCTCGGAAATTTATGTCATGTCTGATTCATGCATGTGGAATATACATAATCCCTAAAATTACATGTGACTTTTTTGGTGCTATTCTTTCGGTACCAAGGCTCGTTTGTGCATTCCATCTCTGGGGCTACTATGACACAGGGGAACTCAGGCGTACAGTAGAGGACAACAACATAATACATAATACAAAAAATATAACATAATAAAAGACAATGTTGTTTTAGTTCTATAAACAATCTACAGTGTATATATCTAAACTTGGGTTCGTTCGTTGAATGTCCAGCACAAGGATCGTCCTATTATTAAACACTAATTAACCCCTGCTAATTTACTGCTATTGATACTGCAGGAGCTCATGCTTAAGCTAACCAGAATGTGTTTAGTACAACAAATTAAAACGTACCGTCAACGATTCCAAGGGACACCAGGAGTAGCGCCACCTCCATGAAACGCCCCATTTTCACAGAGCTCAGCCTGTACCGCACAGAGCTGTGACTACGCTCTGTCTGGCAGGGTGGCTGCGGATAACCTGTTATGCATGCACCACGTGAACGCAAGCTACTGTAACAGCAAATGAATTTGTGTGAATCACGGATGACTCTTTCAACAATATATGTAGCGTGGCCTTGTACATTGTCAGCAGGTACAGGCAAAGGATGTATTAACTGACATTATAGCAAAACATAGCAGGAGTGTTTCCTGTGCGAATACTCATGTGTACTCAAATTAATCTAAATAGCTTATTGATAACTGAAAATCAAACATGTTATTGTTATTGTCTATCAACATGTGCTAATCCCAACAAACGAGTTCTAACTTGTGTATAACTTGTATATAACGTGTGTGTAAGTTGTGTATAACTTATGTATAATTTGGGCATAACTTCCGTTTGACATGTACAGCTTCGTATTAGAAGTGGGGCGGTGGGGTAGCCAAGTGATTAAAGCGGTCGCTTGCCACGCTGAAGACCCCGGTTCGATTCCTCACATGGGTACAATGTGTTAAGCCGATTTCCGACTTCCCGCCGTGATGTTGCTGAAATACTGCTAAAAGTGGCGTAAAACCATACTCAGCCACTCGTATTAGAAGTGACGTCATCATCTCCATATATATATATAAGTATCGTCGCACATGACTTCCTTCTCTCATGGGTTACTTGACTGAACGGCTATTATAGAGTCATGTAATTTGAACTAGATTAAAAAAGAAGTTTTGTTGGGAAGAGGCCGCTTCATTCGCAGGATTTTAACAAACTCCTTTTTCATTCATCTCCCACTGGGACGTCGTGCGAAGTTGTCTAGAAATCAGTCATGCAAGTGTCTTGCTTATTGCGGAATAAGAGGGGTTTGTATCAAAAGAAGAGATTTTTTTTACCAAATTAGTTGTGTTATTACCGACCAACGTGAGCGAAAACACTGAAGTACATTCAATTTATTTTAAATTTCAATAGCTATATACAAATACACATTCAAACTGGCAGGTTGTATTTATTCAGCTAGTCCATCATGGGTGAGTGAATTTAAATGTTGATAATGTCTTTCTGTATGCTCCCATCGTTCTAACTGTTGAGTGGTTTATAGACATACGATAAAATCAAGGGGCTATTCACACATGACTACAATTTCAAGTGTAATTTAAAAGACATCACTTTCAAGTATAAATCGTATTTCATTCATTAAAACGCTACGTTTTGAAGCGAGCAGATTTCTTTTGCAGTCAATACATGTCCCACGCCCGGCGATGACACCAGCATTCTTCGGGTCGAAAAAGGAGAGCATGTCGTAGTTCTTTTGAATTTTTACCCTTTACAATGTAGCTTGTTTACAACTTTATACATGCTGAAACTACTCAAAAGGTTCATATCAGCGGAGACACCTGAAACCTTGACTATTTTATTGCAATCTGTTAAATATTTGTTTCGGAAACCAACCAATTCAAACAGCTTAGTCGAATATCTCACATGACAACAGACCTTGATGTATGTCTGTGTGCTGATACTTGCGTGAGATCGAAATGTCCGTTTTTTACCTTTACGGCTGTATTTCAATAGGATCACAAACCTTCTGAATATACCGAATACTGGCTGGCTGGCTGGCTGGCTGGCTGTAGGATACTGGTGATGATACTGTTTGTATTCATGGGCTTGCAGTATGATACTGGTGATACTGCTGGTGTTTATGGCCTGACTGTATGGAACCGGTGTTACTGCTTGTGTTCATGGCCTTACTGTATGGTACTGATGATACTGTTTGAAATCATACCGTGGCTGTATGATACTGGTGATACTGTTTGAATTCATATCCTGACTGGATGATACTGGTTATATTGTTTGTGTTCAAGGCCTGGGTGTATGATACTGGAGATATTGCTTGTATTCGTGGGCTTCCGGCATGATACTGGTGATACTGTTTGTGTTCATGACCTGGCTGTATGATACTGGTGATATTGCTTGCGTTCATGGCCTGGCTGTATGATACTGGAGATATTGCTTGTATTCATGGGCTTGCGGTATGATACTGGTGATAATGCTTGTGTTCATGATCATGACCTGGCTATATGATACTGGTGATAATGCTTGTGTTCATGACCTGGCTGTATGATACTGGTGATAATGCTTGTGTTCATGACCTGGCTGTGTGATACTGGTGATACTGCTTGTTTTCATGTCCTGGATATATGATGATGGTGACACTGCTTGTGTCTCTGGCCTGGCTGTATGATACTGTGATACTGTTTGAATTCATATCCTGACTTGATGATACTGGTGATAATGTTTGTGTTTATTGGCTGACTGTATGATACTGGTGATAATGCTTGTGTTCATGACCTGGCTGTATTATACTGGTGTGCTTTTGTTCATGGTACTCTGATATTGGTTAAATTCATGTCCTGGCTCTATGTTCTATGCTCTAGGACAACCCCCTAAACAAGTTGATGGCCGTTATCGAGCCTGGTGTCGACCCCGATGACGAGACTTGTCCCTTGAGCAACATATCAGATGTGTTCACCATAAGATGATTAAACTTGTATATGCTACTATGGGTTAGACTGGTTGCTGATGCTTGCTGAATTCTGCCTTTCTTTCCGTGAACAGCTAATGATGCACTGATGCATGATCCTTCCCCTTTGAGGATGCCTTACATTAAGGCTTACCATGTGTTTTTGTCTGTGCATAACTTGTGTATAGTGTCTACTCTCCCTTTTTTCAAAATTCTGGATCAGCCGCTGATTGATGTAAAACTTGTGATATATTTACAAACCTAATATTGTACTGTCTACAATTTTGCTGTCTGTGACTGTGACTCCTCCAGGAATGTTTCCGTGACATCAGTTCCTGGAAGAGTTGCTTCGCTACCTCAACAAGCTGCTGCAGTGAACGCTAGGACTCTGCCAACACAGCTGAGAAGTACCCCTACCTGGAAAGGTCACACCATGCAAAGGTCAGCTGGTTCTGCAGTCAGTGGAGCCACAAAAAGGATGCAATTAATGATACCTCTTTTTCTAATTTTTCATATTAATTGTTGCCAGCTACTTTTCTTCCTTAACTAGCTGCTAGAGAGGTCTGCAGTGAAGGCCAAGACTCTCGCCGCCATAGCTGAGGAGTACCCCTACCTGGCAAGGTCACACACACAACGCAGAGGTCAGTTGGTAGTGCAGTCAGTGCAGCAACAGAAAGGATGCAATAAAAGGATACATTGTTTCTAATTTGTCCAATTAATTGTATCAATCATTTAATGGCTAACAGTAACAATGCCAAGAGAGTTGCAAGATATTTCTCTAAAACCTATTGTTTATATGTCAGAAAATGAGTAAGTGCCAAATAATATCAACTTGTTTCCATATCTTTGGTTTCATGGCTGAATGTTTGCAAAATGTGGGCTGTCATCAATAATTCTTTAAACAATATCAACATTTCACATAGCCGTGTCAGCTGTATTAGCAATTTCATCACATAAAACAAGTCATCAAATTGTGCACATTATATAGCAATGAATAATCACTCTTTGAACAAAATATCTTCAAATGACATTTTAGGAGTTGTAGTATCAGACGACATATTTGACTGATGGATTTGAACTTGTTTTTTTTAACTGCATCATTTCGGTACAGATGCTAGTACGAACCCATGTAGGAATTATTTCATGGGATTCTAATCTCCCTGATAAATTAATGTTGGTGAATAAAATTATGTTATTTGGTTAAAATTTGGATTTTAGGATTGGGATATTTTCCTACGCTCAGACATATTTTAACATTGTATTTTAACATGCATTCAAGCAATAATGTAAAACATGACAGCCTCTTCCTCTGTATTGGTTATCCATGAAATACAAGTCACTTCCACACAGCCATAACATTAGTACGTTAACATTATTCTAGTGCAGATTTCGAATTATTACTAATATTTGCTGCCAACTTTGGGCTGAATATTAGTTTCTGGTCAGGTATAGATATCCCTAGCATCTCTATCAAAGGTTAAGTGATTAATATTTTCCATAGAATAATTATGCCTTCTCGGTTTCAGATATGTTTGAGATGGGCTCAAATCTGCATCAAGAATGACTACAGCCAGCCTTCATAGACATCAAGGACTTCCTCCATAGACAAGGTAAGGAGGGCACGAATCATCTTGATAGCTTTCCAGATTCTCATTTTAAAAAAAAACAGGGTTGTGCACCCAACCGACTCCCTACCTCTCCCATATATATTCCCCCGCGAAGGGAAGTAACTCTTGACATGTCATGTTGACCAGTTGGCTTCATCTGGATAGTGTTCGCATACAGTATTACTTGACTTCAATAATGTTTTATAAATATGGAAGTATTAACATAAAATTCAGTGTTCACTGTAGTGGATGTACGCAAAATGTGCACACCAGTTTTACCAGAAAACAAATTGAAATCAGCTGTTTCATATACATGTAACAACAATAATTACTTCAAAGACAGCTAACTTAATGATGAACACACAAAACACTGTAGGCACTGTAATTACATTGTTCAGCACAATAATGCAACACAAGCCCCTATCATAATTTCTTAAGCCAATGAGGAAAGAGTAGTCAGTGAGTTAGCGTACATGGCCTCTTTCTTTCGCTTTATGGAAACATGAATGCAAATAAAAAATCCTTGTTTGCAAAGAGGCCTATAAAGCAATTTACCATCACATTGATTAAGGCTTATGAATAACTGAAGATGACGTCATCCATTGTTCAGGATGTCACAAAAAACGATTATGTGAGGAGCTTTTGTGAGCTTTGTGATTGTAACAGAAGCGTATATTCATTGACACTTCTGCCTGTTCCAGGCAAACAGAAGTACGCGCTGCCCATCTAATGAGGGATGCAGCTAAGACAGTTGCCTCCACCGTCTACGAGGAAACCAAAGATCAGCTGCGTGAGCAAAGAAAGTGGTCAAATGTAACTAAGAAAGTGTTATCCCAAATATAACATTAGTTACATTTGACCACTTTCTAAATGGCATTGTGTATTCATCACTTCATTCTTTCCCAGCTTTTCAACCGACTTCCACGTTGAAGTAAGAAACTCTGTTATGAGGATCTAGGCAGTACGTTGCTCAGTGCATTCTATCGATCACACCTGCGAACCTTGCCAGAAGACACTGGTGGTCAGTTCAATCCCAGTCTGTGATATACGACACCTGACATGTTGTGATATGACGGACACACAACGCTGTGTTAACAAGGCACTTGTGAAGTACACGATGCAACTGAAGATGAAAGATTGTAAAGATACAATCTGTCGCTATACATATCTACATACTTTCACAGAACCACAGACCAGCAAATGTCATTAACTAATACTATCTGTCTACTATGTTTATATGATATTTTACTTTGCTTTTAGGGTATATTTGAATGGTTAGTGAGAGGAGTCATGTCACTGTGTCTCTTTTGCTGAGTAATAATTTACACAAAGTTGCATTTTGTTATGTTGACAACCACTTTATTCTTTCCCAGCTTTTCAACTGACTTCCATGTTGAAGTAAGAAACTCTGTTAAAAGGATCTAGGCAGTACGTTGCTCACTGCATTCTATTCATCACACCTGCTATCTTTGCCAGTAGACGCTGTGTTATGTATTGACAATGGGCTTGATATATATATTTTACGTACGCCTCAGTATACCACCAGATTGGCGTATGAATACCAAGCATCTATGTTATGTAGTCCGTGTCACCGAATGAATCAGTTCGTTACCGTCAGGAGTGTTGTGCGGTTGTGCTGGAGCTTAAAACCCATATATGTCTGAAGACATATACAATACACTGGTGGTCAGTTCAATCCCAATCTGTGGTATACGACAGCTGACATGCTATATATTTAGGTGCTTGTACAGTGGACTATAGACCCAACAATGTAAGTATCTGATTAAGGACACAGGGAAGAAAAATCAGTTCTGGATATAGAGTCATGTCCCTTGGTATGTAGTGGTAGATTTAGATGTACAGAGAAACGTCGTTAGTCCAGACTCCGTGGCTGTGTATGTGAAACAGCATGAGCAATGTGATCACATTTAGTTGTGTATGTTAAACAACATTAACAATGTGATGAAATTTAGCTATGTATGCTTTACAAAACTATCAGTGTGATCACATTTAACTGTATGTTTAACAGTTAACAGTAACAACGTGATCATTTTTAACTGTGTCTGTTAAACAGCACCTACAATGTGATCACATTTAGCTGTGTATGTAAAACAACAGTTACAATATGATCGCATGTTTAACAACATTTGATGTCTTGTTATTCCTGCTGTGCATGACCTTGACATATTCTCCTTATACCAGGACAAGTTGATGATGTTGTTTTGTTTTTTGATACGTTTACGTCATACACAGGGTTAAAAACAATGCATAGTCAAATTATTGAATTGAATGGATTGAAGTTTGTTACTTGTATATTTTTTTTAATACAGTAAATATATACAAATAAATCATTGTATTGAGATTGAAACATATCTGCCAATTTTTCCCTCAAGGTATCAAAAACAATTTTGTTATGAATTTATTTTCTAAGCACTGCATTACTTCCAATGTCATAAGCAATAGAGAGAAATGAAAGGTATTTTTCTGAGACTAGGATTTTTGAACAAGCTCAAGCTATCAGGTAAGCAAACTTCATGTCACTTAAGAAAGTGTTTGCACTGACAATAACTTTGAAGTAGTCTAATCAATAGTAATATGTGTATAACATATGTGTCACTCATTATTAAAATTCACTGCAACTGTCATGCTTTGGAATTATCTTTTCTTATTAAATGTTGTCTTACGTTGGTCAGATCTCTTTGTCATAGAACTGAGGCCAGGTTGTAGGTGCCTTGCATTAGACATATGGTTTCTTCTCAACTTGAAATTAAGAAACTGAATTAAATCAGTGTGGCTCCAGGGTAAGAAAATAGATCCCAGGCAAGAGAGGCGACTAAGGGGATGGGGCGGTCAGGCTCGCTGACTCGATTGATGCATGTCCGTATTCCAGTTGCATGGATCGGTGCTCGTGATGGTTGTACTGTTGTGGAGAGTGTCGTTAAACTATAAATAAACAAACACTCTGTTTTGTCATGTTCTTTATAACCGAAGTTGATTTATCCCATTTGACGACAGCAACTAATACATCTGTAGCCTCTGGAAACATACATACTCCCGTAAAGATCCGGGTTAGAATGGGTCTTAAGAAACCCGTGTTCGTCATAAGGGGCGACAGTGCGGAGTTCAAAAACAAACAAACAGAAACAGCCATACACATAGATATGATTCCTTGTTATACACTTCAACATGAATGGGGAAATATATTCGGTGCCAAGTCCATAGCAAATGCTTCTCATGAGGGGCGACTGACGGGATCGTGTGTCAGTCTTGCTAACTTAGTTGATGCATGTCATCGTACCAAATTGCCTAGATCAATGTTCATGATGTCAATCACTGGACTGTCTGATCCCGTCTCCAGAGCGCAGTTCAACAACAAACAAACAGAAACAGTCATACACAAAGACATGCTTCATTGTTATACACTTTAAGTGAAACAACAAACAATCAACATGAACGGGGGAAACAGTCACATTCCGTGTCAAATCTACAGCAAATGTACATCAGTGTCCAGAGGTTTAGGCCATTTCACAAATTTCGATCTTCAAGCTCATGTGTCTTGGAGAATCTAAAATGTAAACCAAATGTCAAACATGAAGCATTTATTACAACTAGAAAAGGGGATATTGATAAACAGATAATTGAATGTTTTAACACACATCGTTCTACAATGCACGTGGCCTTTGCCACAAGCACGGATTTGGTTGTGACAAACAGCAACAATAAATGCGAATCTAGATTCGAACCCATGATTATCGGTTTCTGGCACACAGTGGCACACATCTGCATGGTGAATTCCATCGGCTTAGACGACTGGGCCACCCGTGTCCCTCTTACCCGATTATATATGTATATCAGCTCACTTCGTTATAACTGTAGTTAATTCATTCCATTTGATGACATCAGTTAATACATGACTCATGAAACAAACATACCCCAAGTGTAGATCCGGGATAGAATGGGTCTTCATCAGACCATGCTTGTCAGGGGCGACTAACGGCATCTGTTATCAGGTTCGCTGGCTGGCTGATACATGTTACCGTATCCCAATTGCATGGATGGATGCTCATGGTGGCAATCACATGATTGTCTGGTCCAGATTCCCGTGCGACGTTAAACAACTAACAATCAAACAAGTAAACAAATTTAACATAGAAATACACCATTATTGTAGGCTTTGATCAAAACAACAAACAATCAGCAAGAAAGGGGAAACAATCACATTCCTTGAGATACGGAGTCCACTCCACATTTACATCACAGCGCTCAGAGGTTAAGACAAATTTCACAAATTTCGACTTTCAAGTCCATGTGTCTTGGAAAAACTAAAATATATACACAATATTAAACATATAGCAAGTACTGCGAGAGAAGGGGACTTTGATCAACAGATAACATAATCTATATATTGAACAGTTGAATCCTTGTGGTTCTACAGTGCATGTGAAGTAACTGCTGAACATTGCCCATTATGTCTAAACAAGCAATTTACTGCCATGTCACTTCAGACATGTCCCCAACAGACCTGACCCTATCAGACCGGACACCCATCAGTCCGGACCCCCCTCAGTCCGGACCTTCTGGACGCATTCTGATACGCTGCCATTTTTGTACACAACTGAGCCTGAGGAAATGTTAGGCATGTGAAGGACCCATGGCAAGAGTCATTTTACAACCCGTTCACTCTTCTGTTTCTGTGAACCATACAATACGATACAACCATCTTGCAGTCATCTGGAGAAGCATGCATTGTCCTTGTTCAACCCACAAGCAGGTATCCGCATCAAAATGAGATTAATGTCACGTGTAGATATAATCTAAACATGACGAACTATTAAACTGAAAAAGAGTGACGTTTAACTTTTCCCCAGGTGTATAACAGTAGATGTCACGAGCTCAATCCAAGCAGTCCACTATTCATTTCAAACAAGTTGTTTGTATAACATCACCAGTCCTTACAATCCATCACTAGTCTCGGACCAGCAGATAAGTGGCCGAGACTAGTGATAACTACGTAACTCCCAACCAATGATTCGTTGACACGAATATTTCATCGCCTGGTAAATAAAGGGTTCCACTGTACTATACTGTAAGTGTATACTTTATATGTAACTGTTCACATTATTATATATGATTTGATATCTGATTGCGGACACAGTATAGAATATACGAGTCAGATTATTATAATAATGTAAACGGTCGGAATGAGATCTACAAACAATGCATATAAAGGGTGTACTATAAATAAACTAAATCATATTACCTTTGCAGCAACACTTGTACATTCTAAAGAACAAGATGGTTGTGGAGAGAAGAAAACAAAGTTGAATAGTATTTATGTTAAAAATTCAATATTATCAATCTGAGTGATTATTGGAAACAGTTCAATTACAAAAGTCTCTTACTTAATTATTATATTCAAATACCAATATTCAATAGGAAAATACAACACGGCCTTGTAAGGCTAACATGATATACAATTGAAATATGTGTTTATTTAATAATAGGTAAAGCAGAGAAACACACGGTACACGTGCAGTGTGGTGTTTGCAAGTCAGGAAAGCGTTGCAAAAGTATAGCATGTACAAGCCCGTATAGCATTGACGATTTATAACATATACAAGCCCATGTATCATTGAGGGTTTTTAGCATATACAAGCCCATGTAGCATTGACAACTTATAGCGTATACAAACACATGTAGCATTGACTATTTATAGCATATACAAGCCCATGTAGCAATGACGATTCATAGCATATACAAGCCCGTGTGGCATTGACAACTTATAGCGTATACAAACACGTGTAGCATTGAGGGTTTATAGTATATGCAAGCCCATGTAGCATTGACAATTTATAGCGTATACAAGCCCGTGTAGCATTAAGGGTTCGTGGAATATGCAAGCCCGTGAAGCATTGGCGATTTATAGCCTACACAAGCCCGCCCTAAAAGTCTTGACGATTAAAAAGACGGATGCAAAATGATTTCCGTGGTTAGAGGTCAGTGACATAGGACGACAAACGTTGAGGTAGGTGTAATTGATAATTGAACGTACACATTCTCTTTCATCACTTCACAAACATTCAGTCACGATGCCCTCTTAATGTTATTGAAATCTGAACAATCAAAATGAGATGAAGACATTATATGTATCAAGAACGCTCACAAAGAATTGCAGATGAATTGTCTTACCTACTCCCGAGCTATTAAGGTAGTTCACAAATATCACAATGGAGACGTGCATGTCTCAGATCCTTTTTTGTGATTGTAGATTGTTTCGCTCATGCATTTCAAACTGAACATGTAATCATACACAAAAATATATCATTTTGTAGAATAAAGAATAGTACAAACTTATATATCGGGCACATAAACATATTCGTTTAAACAAAACATTGCAAATAATGTATTTTAAATATGTTTGTAAACAAACAGGTTTCTACAAGATAAATTAAGCATTAAGATTACTAGTTAAAATATGGGAATAAAACTAGTTAAACCAACAGAAACAATATATGCATAAGCAAATATGGAGATACTTTATGCAGGTGGGGGCTGGAATAACATGAATGTCCGACGAATTAGCCTTCTGGTGATGAGCCTGTACCAGTAAAACTTCTCCAGGGGAGGGACGGGACGGGGCGTTGAGTGGGGTTGCTGGGTAATGCTGGGTAGGTGGATGTTATTTTGCGACACTGGGGCAGACATTGGTACAGTGTCGTTTCTTAACACCACCTGCGATTCCACTTAAGCGTAAGTATTCTGACATCGAGATGCGTCATACTGTTCATAGGTGTTTTCAGTTCCAAATTCAATGCAGGGATCAATGTACAAATAACACAGCTCTACACTGTAAACAGGGTATGTGTATACAGAAGTAAAATTCTTTTCCAAACACAGGGTGTCGTTCAACTTACCTGCATCAGCACCTGTAGTTGGTGGATCAGAAGGGAAACGGTAACCTCCATTAACAATGTCTATGGAAAACCCATATACAGCGAACCTGCTGGCAGAGCGGACGAAATAACTGAAGAATGAAGAATTTCTTCCCGCTTTGTAATCACTGCCGGGGATGTCCACCCAGTCCAGTGTAACAGGGACCATATCACCAGTAAATACTTCAATATCTGATACGTGTTGTTTAGTCAGGATGTTTATACAGTATGTCCGAGGAATCAATGCACTGTTCACGAAATACGTAACTGGAACTACAACAACAATCCCATGATCATTATAATATAGGTCGTTTCTACACAGGGTTGCCATGACAGGTCTTGTGGCATTAAGATATAGACTCTCACTATCGGCGAGGTATTGGCGATATACACGGTTGTCACCCAGAGAGAATGTAGATCCATTGTTCAACATAATTTTAGCGTCGCTCTGGTCACTTATAACTTGTAGCTGGTATGTTGCGTTCCTATAATAGGAGTGGTCACCTGTATACATAACATACTCCGTCCCATGATGTCGTACAGGTAATAGTTGCGTCACGGCCGTGAAGTAAACGTTTCGCATTGCCCCACTGAACACAGCTACAGTGTTTGTTGCGTTGATTACAGTTCCAGTCAGGTCATAGTCACTCTTCATTGTGAAGGTCTGATACTCATCTAGAGTCACATGGATCGTATCACCGTCGTTGTAGGTCATGTTGTCATAGGTGACGTTCCCCTCCAGCATCAGCGTGATGTCCACGTCTGTCTTGTGGTTGTTGCTAGCTATCACTAACACCACGTGGCCCTTGTATCCCAGACAGGTGGATACTACATATCTGGAACCTAGGGCAGAGATCGGGAGGGGGGGAAAGATGCCATGTCCACAGTGTCCGTGAACGCCCATGTCCTCACCAAAGACGTGGATTATGAAAGCCTTGTTCTCCACACCCACCGTCATCCACAATGATGGATCTATGTAAACCAAAGTGATCCCGTATGGCGTTACAGTCCTTGTGACGTTATATCCCACCTGTGGATAATCAACCAGAAAGGATCCCCCTGTTTCCCCAGCTGCCACTGTAACTGAATTAGGAGGTGCCGTGAAATAATGAATGTATACCAGGAGGTAGCCCACACCTGGAAAAAGTATACACAGTTTGTTAGTAGTGTTTTAGAATGGACAATAATGGTACAAGCTAACTTCTGACAATTGATAGTTTCAACGAATCACTCGACTAAGCATTGTGTGCCTGGGGTTGACATACATGACTCTGATGTTATAAACCAAATATGTGTTAATGTGACTGCTGTCCAAAGTCATTAAATCGATCGCCAAAGGACATTAGTCTCTCTATCATGATTTCTTTTATATATAAAAGACACTCATATATCTAGTTCCAAATAACAACATCGATGAAAATAGATATAACGTGAGCACAAGCAAATTAAACGTTATTTTACACACTTACCAAAATCAAGGCGGCCTGTAAATATACGATCTGACAAACAACTACAACAGCAGCGTGAATAACAGCCTACTCGCACGTTCATTGTCAATCGCAGCATTTTGTTCATCACTTCCTCAGTAAGTGACAGTGACGGTGTAACTTTAGGCATTCTGAACATTCCCACGCTGAATGTCGTCACTCGTTTGGATTGACTATGTGTTTTACCGCGATACAGTTGATCGTTATATGACTGTAAGTATAAATATGTGGCCAAATCTACCGAAAAGACGTGTGTGAAACATTTGATACGAAAACATAATTACGTGCATGTGTGCTGCCGTGGATATGAATACGTCACAGTGTTATTAGTGGTGTCCTCATAATCAGAGAGTCGCCATACATTTCGAAAGAAATGTTGAGCACCACCCTACTTCATGTTCCTTTACCCCGACCTTCAATGTATCTCTGTACATATGACGTTGATGGCTGATATATGTCTAAGATACCACCGATATCGATATAAATGTAGCTCCAGAATATTGTATGTTTCTCAAGATCGTCACGAGTTCTGAGTCAAATAATATGATGCAAAGCTTTAGAAGGAAATTCAAAAATCTATTGCTATTAGTCAGTTAAAGCACATCCTCTTAGATACTCGATTCCGGTATATAGTATTTCAAAACGAGCATGTCATAATGGAAACAAAACCAAGTATGTCAAGTGATTTTAATTTCATTTTATTTTATATCGAATGTACTGATTCCGAGCCGACCATTCTCTGTTTTATCCCCATAATGCCGAGCTCCAGGCAGGGAAATAACAAGTACCATCCTTCAAGTACCGTAAGTACCGTGATAAGGTTTGACGCGATCAGTGGATGGTACCACCGACCTTTTGCTCTCCGTACAAACGCTCTAACCACTACACCACGGGGGGGGGGGGTTTCCGCACCCCAGAGCACACTAGATAAGACACCAAACCGACATCAACAACGGAACTTGACAGAATAACCAAAAACCATAACAGCAAAAACGATAATCTATAAACTGTGATCAAAGACAATGTATACAATTTACCAAAACACAAATAATAGATGTATTTAGATGTTATTAACCATTATGAGTCTTTTAATGTTATAATTGGGGATTACAACATTGAAATACATATTTGTTATTCCTCATATTGTTTTAATTGCATCACATCGGGCTTTCCTCCAACATCAAGCTGACATACCACGATGGAACTGAAATTCTGCTAAAAGTTGCATACTCAAAGAAGCTATGTCTATACTTATACCCTCAGGATATTCTTGTCCGCCAGTCCGGTCGTTGGTAGATACAGGTGTGGGTAGTGTCGTTGCACCTGCGGCAGTTGAGGCCGGGGTTTGTGTCGTCGGAGTTGCTGAACCTAAACAGAAATCAGATCTTAGATACTCTTTTAAGAGTTGCTAGTCCGAGGTTTCAATTCACATAACGTTCTTCTTAACATGAAAACAGCTGATATCAATGTCGTATATTTGCGTATTAATTTCAACACTACACTACATTTGATAGCTTGCGAACTTTCGGGAAATTTATGTCATGTCTAATTCACGCATGTGGAATATACATAATCGCTAAAATGACATACTTATTATGTATATATACGTATGATTTTTTTGGTACTATTCTTTTGGTATCAAGACTCGTTTGTGCATTCCAGCTCTTGTACAGATTCTTTTTGAAATGCTCCAATTTGGAATGCTTCATGTAGTTGCAGCTGTCAAAGTCACGTTGTTTTAGAGCTACTCGTGTACCTGAAATGTCCCAAATTCACAGAGAACTACATAGGACTCACATAGTGGTAGGAGTATGTAATAAGGTTTCCTTCTCTGCAATCATACAGAATATAGAATGACAGACACGACGTGACTAGGCCCTGGGCTTACTTTGACACAGGGGAACTCAGGCGTACAGTTGAGGACATAACAACCTGTACAGACAAATATTCCCTTTGTCCTCTCCATGCCCTGCGTGAACCTTGAAGTTCAAAACTACCCTGGGGAGGAGTTGAATCAGCTACTTAGAAGAATAGATGTGCTTGAAAGGGATTTGATAGTTGAGGCATGTCTCATGGGTAAAGGTCTAGGTGAAAAGAAAGCGATAGAGCGAGAAACTAAATTGGACAAGTCTCTCGGTACAGGAAAAGAAAAGAAAAGCTTTTGAATTATCTACCTCCAAAGCTTAGAGGATAATTGAACCCTGACACCTACTGCATCATCATCAATCTTTGACAAACCTTTCAGAAATCTACTCCAAAATATGTACTCCAGATACATCAGCAATGGGGTTGTCTGAATTGAATGCAAATGGCTGTAAAATGAAATTGTAACAAAATATCCGAACAACGCCATTTATTCTGTTGTTTACCACGTCACTGGTCTTGTTGCTCGCCATGGCCCTGTCCGTTACTTCAGATGTCAGGCCCTTGAAAAAGACTAATAATGAAATTATAAAAAATACACCATCAAAAGTCAAATAAATTTAAAACAAATGTTGAGTCACTGAATGGGGAAACGAATGGGGAACCATAGCGATCGAAGTTGTGACACACCAAAAGGAATCCTGAGTTTTGGCACGAAACGATAAATGGAATGGGACAGAAGGAGTGATAACCAAAGAAATTACATCTCCACCAACCCGACATGTCAACTTGGGTGAACTGTCAGTTTCGGCTCCCTGAATTCTAACAAACTCATAATGTGATAACGAAGTCCATTTCAAGGCCCAAACTTCTGGAGATGGCAAGAAAACATAACTGATTTTTGTAGGACTCTCTGTGTGTTAAGGACATGCTGTTGGATTGTCTGGTCCAGACCCGATTATTTACAGACCACCGTCACATAGCGGGAATATTGCTGAGTGCGGCGTTAAACAACAAACAAACAAACAAAACACCCGTGTGTTCAAGTTTAGCATAATGTAATATAATATTAATATCTTCATGTAAATAAGTTAACCTCAGTTCAAAACTCTATTTAGTTTGTTAGCTGATTTGTCGTCTTGTAAGGTGCTTTTAAGGTGCTTGTATGATTATTTTATGTAAATCATCTCTCGTTGTATTTGTATTTTTACAAACAGATAATATACCTGAAATGATTTCTCATTTTACTTAATATTCTGATTATACATCTATACGCGATGAGGACATCAAAGTATTACATACCAAACTATACCCTCATGGTCATAATACATAATACGAAATAATAGTAATAACAAAATAAAAAACAATATTGTTTTAGTTCTCTAAACAATCTACAGTGTATATATCTAAATAGGGTTCGTACGTTGAATGTCCAGCACAAGGATCGTCCTATAATTAAACACTAACTTACCCCTGCTAATTTACTGCCATTGATACTGCAGGAGTTCATGCTTAAGCCAACCAGAATGTGTTAAGTACAACAAATTATAGCGTACCCTCAACGTTTCCAAGGGACACCAGGAGCAGCGCCACCTCCATGAAACGCCTCATTGTCACAGAGCTTAGCCTGTGCCGCATAGAGTTGTGACTACGCTCTGTCTGGCAGGATGGCTGTGGATAACCTGTTATGTATGCACAACGTGAACGCAAGCAAATGAAATTGTGTGAATCACGAATGACTCTTCCAATGATATATGTAGCGTGGCCTTGTACATTGTCAGCAGGTACAGGCAAAGGAATACTCATGTGTACTCATATTGATCTAAAAAGCTTATTGATGACTAAAACCCAAACATGAAACATTACTGTTATTGTCTATCAACATGCACTATTCCCAACATATGAGTTCTAACTTGTCTATAACTTGTGTATAACGTGTGTGTAAGTTGTGCATATCTTGTATTTGACATGTACAGCTTCGTATTAGAAGTGGGGCTATGGGGTAGCCTCGTGATTTAAGTGGTCGCTCGTCACGCGGGTTCGATTCCTCACATGGGTTCATTGTGCTAAGCCCATTTCCGATGTCCCGCAGTGATGTTGCTGGAATACTGCTAAAAGCGGCGTAAAACCATACTCACTTGTATTAGAAGTGACGTCATCATCTCCATATATATCAGTATCTTCGCATATAACTTCCTTCGCTCATGGGTTACTTGACTGAACAGCTATATTGGAGTCAAAAAGAAGTTTTGTAGGGAAAAGCCCGCTTCATTCACATGATTGTGACAAACTCATTTTTCATTAATCTCCCACTGGGACGTCGTGCGAAGTTGTCTAGAAATCAGTCATGCAAGTGTCTTGCTTATATCGGAACAAAGGGGGTTGTCTCAAGAGAAGAGAGTAGATAATTCAGATTTCACCAAATTAGTTGTGTTATAACCGACCTACATAAGCGAATACATCGATGTACATTCAATTTATTTTAAATTTCAATAGCTTTATACAAATACACACTCAAACTGACAGGTTGTATTTATTTAGCTAGTCCATCATGGGTGGGTGATTTCAATTGTTGATAATGTCTTTCTGTATGCTCACAGCGTTCTTACTGTTGAGTGGTTTATAGATATACGATAAAATCAAGGGGTTATTCACGCAGGACTAACAACTAACAACAGACCTTGATGTATGTCTGTGTCCTGATACTTGCGTGAGATTGAAATGTCCTCACGTTTTTTCCTTTACGGCTGTATTTCAATAGGATCACAAACCTTCTGAATATACCGAATGCTGGCTGGCTGTACGATACTGGTGATACTGCTTGTATTCATGGGCTTGCGGTATGATACTGGTGATACTGTTTGAAATCATATCATGGCTGTATGATACTGGTCATACTGTTTGAATTCATATCCTGACTGGCATGATACTGGTGATACTGTTTTTGTTCATGGCCTGGGTGTATGACACTGGTGATATTGCTTGTATTCATGGGCTTGCGGTATGATGCTGGTGATTTTGTTTGTGTTCATGGCCTGGGTGTATGATACTGGTGATATTGCTTGTATTCATGGGCTTGCATCATGATACTGGTGATACTGTTTGTGTTCCTGGTCTGGCTGCATGATACTGGTGATACTGCTTGTATTCATGACCTGGCTGTATGATACTGGTGATATTGCTTGCGTTCATGGCCTGGTTGTATGATACTGTTGATAGTGCTTGTATTCATGGGCTTGCGGTATGATGCTCGTGATCATTCTTGTGTTCATGACCTGGCTGTATGATAGTGGTGATATTGCTTGCGTTCATGGCCTGGCTGTATGATACTTGTCATACTGCTTGTATTCATGGGCTTATAGTATGATTGCTGTGATACTGCTTTTATTCATGGACTGGCTGTACGATACTGGTGTGCTTGTGTTCATGGTACTCATGGTTCATGATATTTTTGGAATTCATGTCCTGGTTCTATGTCCTATGCTCTAGGACAATCCCCACAACAAGCACATGGTCATTGTCGAGCCTGGTGTCGACCCCGATGACGAGACTTGTCCCTTGAGCAACATATCAGATGTGTTTACCATAAGATGATTAAACTTGTAATTGCTACTATGGGTTAGACTGGTTGCTGATGCTTACTGAATTCTGCCTTTCTTTCCGTGAACAGCTAATGATGCAATGGCAGATCCTTCCCCTTTTCGGATACCTTACATTAAGGCTTACCACTCTCCCTTTTTCCAAAATTATGGATCAGCCGCTGAATGATGTAAAACTTGTGATATATTTGCAAATCTAATACTTTACTGTCTACAATGCTCATTATCTTCACATTTACATCTTTGCTAGCAGTCTTCTTTCCTGTAATTTTATCTGAGGTCCAAGATTATGTTCATTTCCATGTTTGTTGACTGTGACTGTGACTCCTCCAGGAGAGTTTCCGTGACATCAGTTCCTGGAAGAGTTGCCCCAGTCTCCCAACAAGCTGATGCAGTGAAGGCGAGGACTCCGCCACCATAGCTGAGAAGTACCTTTACCTGGAAGGGTCACACAACGCAGAGGTCAGCTGGAATTGCAGCAACAGAAAGGATGCAATAAAATGATACCTCTTTTTCTATTTTTTCATATTAATTGTTGCCAGTTGCTCCTCTTCCTCAACTAGCTGCTAGAGAGGTCTGCAGTGAAGGCCAAGACTCTCGCCGCCATAGGTGAGGAGTACCCCGACCTGGCAAGGTCACACAACGCAGAGGTCAGTTGGTAGTGCAGTCAGTGCAGCAGCAGAAAGGATGCAATAAAATAATACATCGTTTCTTATTTGTCCTAATAATTGTATCAATTTATTAAATGGCTAAGAATAACAATGCCAATGAGAGTTGCAAGGTATTTCACTAAAACCTATTGTTTATATGTCAGAAAATGATTAATTGCCAAATAATATCACCTTGTTTCCACATCTTTGGTTTCATGGCTTAATGTTGGCAAATGTGGACTGTCATCAATAATTCTTCAAACAATATCAACATTTCACTTAGCCGTGTCAGCTGTATTACCAATTTCATCACATAAAACAAGTCATCAAATTCTGCACATTATATAGCAACGAATAATCACTCTTTGAACAAAATATCTTCAAATGACATTTTAGGAGTTGTAGTATTAGACGACATATTTGACTGATGGATTTGAACTTGTTTATTTTTCAACTGCATCATTTCAGTACAGATGCTAGTACGAACCCATGAAGGAATTATTTTATGGGATTCTAATCTCCCTGATGAATTAATGTTGCTGAATAAAATTATGTTTATTGTGTTAAAATATGGATTTTGGGATTGTGATTAATATTTACCTACGTTCAGACGTATTTGAACATTATATTTTAACATGCATTCAAGCAATAATGTAAAACGACAGCCTCTTCCTCTGTATTGGTTATCCGTGAAATAAAAGTCACCTCCACACAGGCGAAACATTAGTACGTTAACATTATTCTTGTGCAGATTTGTAATTATTATTGATATTTGCTGCCAACTTTGGGCTGAATATCAGATTCAATGCAAATCTCGATATCCCCAATATCCTTATAAAAAGATAAGTCATTAATATGTTCTATAGAATAATTCTGCCATTTTGGTTTCAGATCTGTTTGAGATTGGCTCAAATCTGCATCAAGAATGACTACAGCCAGCCTTCATAGACATCAAGGCCTTCCTGCATAGACAAGGTAAGGAAAGCATGAATCATGCGCTTCACATTTTTAAAAACAGGGTTGTGCACCCACCCGACTCCCCACCTCTCCCAAGTATATTCCCAAGGGAAGGGAAGTAACTCTTGACATGTCATGTTGATCTGTTGGCTTCATCTGGATAGTGTTGGTAGACAGTATTACTTGACTTCAATAAAAAAAATTAAATATGGAAGTATTCACATAAAATTCAGTGTGCACTGTAGCGGATATACATGTAACAACAATAATAACTTCAAAGACAACTAATTTAATCATGAACGCACAAAACACTGTAGGCTCTGTAATAACATTGTTCAGCACAATAATGCAACACAAGCCCCTTTCATAATATTTTTAGCCAATGAGGTAAGAGTAGCCTGTAAGTGAGCGTACATGGCCCCTTTTATTCGCTTTATGGAAGCATGGATGCAAATACAAAATCCTTGTTTGCAAAGAGGCCCATAGAGTAATGTACCATCACATTATGAATAACTGAAGATGACGTCATCCATTGTTCAGGATGTCACAAAAAACGATAATGTGAGGAGGTTTTATAAGCTTTCTGATTGTAACAGAAGCGTATATTCATTGACACTTATGACTGTTCCAGGCAAACAGAAGTACACGCTGTCCATCTAATGAGGGGGTCGGATGCAGCTAAGACAGTTGCCTCCACCGTCTACGAGGAAACCAAAGATCAGCTACATGTGGAAGTCTCCAAATGCGTGGCTAAAGAAATAGGGCTGAAGAAATAACATATCACACCTGCTGCTGGTGTCACACACAGACCGAAGGAAGGACACAGTCAACATTCTTCAGTCATTCAGTGAGATTGTTTTGAGAGATAGTAGTACTCTATGCACAGAAATGTCACTTTGATAGAATGAAGAAGTTGAAATTGATGACAACTCTGTGTTCCTTGATACTACAGCTTCTGAATGCCCTTGAAGCTATTGATTGAAGAAGGAGGAAAATGATGAACTATCAGTGTGACTGGTTGATCCTCTAATGTCATGGGGGGAAGACGGTTGTGATAGTGCACTTATTCAGATGTCAGATTTATACTTTTATACATATTCATTCTTATCATATCACTTTTTTTATTTTTCTCTCGGAATATGTGATGATACTATCTGTCTACCATGATTTTATGATATTCTACCTTGATTTTAGGGTATATTTGAGTGGTCAGTGAGAGGGATCATGTCTCTGTACCTCTGACTTGAGAGCCTGTTTGCTGAGTAATAATATACACAAAGTTGCTCTTTGTTATGTTGACAACCACTTAATTCTTTAGGGGCGGTCGGGTAGCCTAGTGGTTAAAGCTTTCGCTCGTCAGGCCGAAGACCCGGGTTCTATTCCCGACATGGGTACAATGTGTTTAGCCCATTTCTTGTGTCCCCCGTCGTGATATTGCTGGAATATTGCTAAAAG